CAGGGCTACATATCATGTACTACGGATCATTTAACCCATTCATGTTAGCAGAGGATCATTGTAAATGTATTGTCTGCACTGTATTAGCAGTATATACTCTATATAGAGTATATACTGCTAATACAGTGCAGACAATACATTTACAATGATCCTCTGCTAACATGAATGGGTTAAATGATCCATAGTACAGGGCTACATATCATGTACTACGGATCATTTAACCCATTCATGTTAGCAGAGGATCATTGTAAATGTATTGTCTGCACTGTATTAGCAGTATATACTCTATATAGAGTATATACTGCTAATACAGTGCAGACAATACATTTACAATTATACTAACATGAATGTATTAAATGATCTGTATGTAGCCCTGTACCCCCTTTTCCACTTACAGAGCTAGGTTATTTTTCTTTTAAATAAATATTCATGTAATTTTATTAGTATCTATCTACCAGTAGCTGCCTCATTTCCCACCCTCGTCTTATATTCGGGTCGATACTTTTTCCAGGTTTTTTTGGTAAAATTAGGTCCCTCGGCTTATATTCGGGACGGCTTATACTCGAGTATATACGGTATCAATTGTTTATGATACATAACGATATAGTGAAATGAGTACCATTCAATTAGGCTTTACATCCACTTTAAATGCTATAGGAAAAAAATAAAATAAAGTAGATTAAGCTAGTGATGCCCTTGGCAAGAAGGGATTCTCTTATAAGAAAACATGTATGCTGTGAGGACAACAGAAATGTACACAAGGGAGAAGCAGAAAATGAGGGGTCTTAACACAAGAAAGAATAGAAGAAACTGAGTCTGTTAATTCTCATTCTGCTTGCTCTGCATTTTAGATAACATCAGTCATATTCTCCAAAGCGCAAGGCAAATAATTATGTGAAAATATGAATGCAAATTGTGACAGGGAAAACACTGCCACCTGTAGATACATCCAGAATGAAAATGTACTTTTCCCTCAGCAAGATACCTTCGTATTGGACTCAGGCCACACATTGCTGCATGGGAGAAGATCTGCTTACTGCTGGGCGATTATTATGTATTATGGATTGTGCCTGTTATCTTGGTGAATAAGCCAACCAGAAAAAAAGCTATTTAATAAAATTCTAATTAGCCTGAAACTTCCATAACTAGGCACTCAATGTAATTAGCTTGATACAGGCACAAGAGAAATAAAAACAGGCAATGTCTACACCAGGATGGGTCTCATGGGCATTATTAGGTGTTCAGTGACTCTCCAGCTCGCAATGGTTTGTTTTCCCTTACTGTCTTTCTGTTAGGTGCACTGTTGACTGTTCGCACTGGTGATGGTCTCTGCACTGTCAGGACAATAGTGCAGGCTAGTTTAGATTTCCAGCCTGAATGACATTGCTTTGCTCAGATTGTTGTTTGCATAGACTTTACTGGTTATGAGTACTTCATACACTTTATCACCACTGTAATGTGAACTCTTATTGAAACCTGTAATCTTTGGAGAGCCCAGTGTTACTTAGTTACCCCTGATAGTGTCATAGACCGTTCTGTGTGACAGTCCCAGGTTTCAGCCTTCAGGTTTGCCACACTAACAGCTGATTGAAGATAGGGAAACAGGAGAAGTATGGCAGCATAGACCTGAACTCAAGGTCTTGGCTAGGGGTGGTACAGGTGGTGATCAGATTGTGGAAGACCTATAAGAATCAACAACCAGAAAACTAGGCAAGATGTATTCAGGTTGGTAGATCAGAGACTTACCAGAACAAAGGTAGATGTACTGGTTGGATAGAAGGTTGGGTTATGCTGGAATTAGCAAGAATTTTTGATCTGGCACCAACAAAATGCACAGATATGTCTTTTAAATTTGACACCTAATGATGTCAGAGCATACAGTATTTTGTAATATGCAGGATATGGCTTAGATGGATACTTGAAGTATATAATTGAAGCAGGGAAGATGACGGCTGTGGAAAAGCCAGCCACAAGGACAGATCAGTGATGGCTTAACTTGGATGCCATTGGTTTGGTAATATCTATCTTTTCATGATGGTGGCATCATCTAGGTAGGCGCACTCTACTTGGGACTATACTGGCAGTCACCACAGTGTTCCTGATTGGTTTTCACTGATCACATGTAACTCGATGTTACAATTGTGTTTTGACTTTCACTGATCACATGTAACTCCATGTTACAGTTGTTTTTGTCATTACATATTTCAGATTTTGGTCAGCCTTTGGTGGTAATTTACTTTCTCCATGAAAGGCCCAGGTTTATTCGGCGCACACAGCTGTGGTATCAAAGTGTATATTATTTCCTTTAAGCCTTCTCACATTACACAGACAGCCCTGTGCTTTTCTCGCAGTTTATAATTATTACCAGTTGATCCACCTGTGCTTGAGAGCTAATAGAGAATTTGAGAAGTAAGAATACTTAAAACGGCAGACTAATACGTAAAAGAAAAATACTTAGAATGTTTGCCACACAAACTCGCGAATAGCAGTACAGTGCCCATAGGCCTTGCGTGGAACTCATTATGGCTGGATTGTAAAGGAAACTGTTATATATTAATGGTGCTAAGAGGATTAACTGTGTTCTCCGAAGGTAAGTACATAAATGGCTGTTTAGCAAGGCAGATGGAAACTGTTCAGTGAGTTTACAAGTGTTGGAGAACATGCAGGTAATCAGTAAGGAGCTCGTTCTCCTCCCTGTTGAAATGAAACCATTCCCCCCCATATCCCTGTAGGACAGAAAGGGTTAATTAATTAGGATTTTGAGCTTTTAATTGGAGCTTAGCGAGTCCTGCCTGACAGCTGTCTGCCCCCCCCCCCTCCCAACTAAATTCATTTGTTTAAATTCATTTTGTACAATAGTGAAATTAATTATGCAGATTTCCTTTTGGAGGTAATGTTGTTTTGCCGCTCCAATATTAGTTTGTTGCAATTGTGCTCTGGGGGTCTCTGCATATTGTCTGCGATATTATCAGGCGCTGGGCCTCTCTCATTTCGGGTTATTGACAGTTTCTGAGACGAGATGAAGATAATTATTAAGCCATTGTTGTGCTGGGAGGAGGCCAGTTGTACGATGAAAAATAAGAAAAAGAACATCTTATTCTAAGTTGGCCTGTTTTCCTCCAATTTTTTTCATCTAATTGTTTGCCTCGTTAGTGTCAGTATTTAGTTATTTCTGTATTACTCGGCAGGTCGTTCGTGAGTTGTTAAAGGGAATGTATAGTCTGTTCATTTTATGGTTTTATGTTTTATTTTTTTAGATACAAGCGTATAAGAGGTCAGCTTGATATAAATGATGTTATGAATGTATGTTAATAATCGTTAATAATCTATAAACTGTTTCTATGTTTGTAATTTTGTTTTGTTTGTAATTTTGTACGCAAGGGAAGCCATATTTTCACTTTGCTATCTCAGGCTCTACTCCTGGCTATGCAGTTTTACACAGTGGATGCACTTTACTGCTTTTTCTCCCAATGCTAATCTTTGAGCCATGCAACTCATTGAATGCAATGCACCCGATGTGTCTTTATTAATATGACTCAAACTGAACCTGTGCTTTATCCAAGCAGAGCAAAGCAACAGGCTCACTTTAAAGCAGCATCTAATACTTGACCTTCACCAGGAGCAATGGGAAGGAGACCCTTCTGGTCAAGGTCTGAGTCAATCCTATTTAGAGCTTACACAGGGATCAAGACTCATTTTGCTCCTATGTGACTATGCTAGACAATCACCAAGCACCAGCGCTGTCACATGAGAGGAAGGAGAGTGAGTCACATGCTCCTCCATACCCGGAAGTACCAGGTATTTTCTTTGTTTGCAGTGGCTGAACTGAGCAGTGTGAGAGCAAATGAAAGGTAAGTTTGAGGGTGGCTGAGCTTTAACATAAACCTGTTGTTTTGCCCTGCAAGGTACAAATTAACTTTAGAACCTGTGTCCACATGCTTTGAGCTTGTGACTATAGCATCAGGTTTATATCAGTTTGAGGCGCTTCTGAGATAATTCAGAATTTGAAGATGACATTTGACCTGCAACCTCCTTCTGACTTGCTTTTGATCTGCCTTAGTCGGGTTTTGCATTCCTGAAGACTTGTACGGGAATGCAAAATACGTTTAGGCAGGTGTATCTGACCTGCAGCTAACCTCTTGACTTGCTTCAAGGGGGATTTTCATTCCCTGAAGACTTGTATGGGAATGCAAAAGCGAAAAAGCTTGAAGCGCACAAAGGCCCACCGACACAGGCCCTTAAGCGGAATAAAGCAGAATTTAAAAATATAAAAAGGCCCCCTGAAGCTTTTAACCATAATGTTCTAGTATGTACGGCATATAAGCACATTATGGCACACTTACCTGCCAAAGTGATTCTCTCCAGCGCACAAGCGCATGGGAGTCATTTTAATCTCAGCATACCACGTTTGTGCGCTGAGCTGCGCATGCGTGGCTCAATGAACAGAAGAAAAAAAATTGACGAATGGTGGAAAGAAGAATGTTTAAATTTTTTTTTTTTTTTTTTTTTTACCTTACTTCTGCTTAAAGCAGGAGTACATTGAGGCTGAGTGCCCTTTAGCAGTCATTCTCCATAGAAACGTCTCATATAAAATTACTTTAATGTAAACGCTGCAATAATGAGCTCACTAGAAATACACAATACTTCTGTTTTTATAGGGGATACCAGTGTTTGCATTGTAAATTGTGCAGGCGTTTCCTGCTTTTTTTCTAATTGGTTGAAAGCTAAATACATTTGTGGTATGACAGGTGGGAGATTATGTGTCGGAATTTATGCATAACCTTGCATAAGGAAATGAGACTGCAAGATATGGATCCTGTACTTCATAAATCTTAAACAAGATGTTGGTGTATAATTTGAATTTAAACCTGTGCCATGCTACAGCAAATAGCAGACAGATATTTTTGCTCATTTTCAGGCAGACCTTTGTAGACCTGTGTTTACATGTCTTAGTTCTAATAACATTAACAAATCCATATTGTTGTACTTCCTTATTGCAGCACGCCCCACTGCCCGTCGCGTAGCCAACCAAATACCAGATGAAATCTCCCAGAATCCTTTACTCCTGGAAGCCATTTCTGTACTACCGCAAAACTATAACTTTGAAATTCCTAAGACAATATGGAGGATTCAGCAAGCTGCAGCTAAAAGAGGTATGCTTATGGTGTTATGTTTTTTTTGTTGTTGTTTCCAGCAGATAATTGCAGGTTTAGACTGGGTTCACATTTTCGTACTGTGGTAACATGCTGTAATATGAATGATAACGCAAAGCACAGTAATGCGGCACGAACTGTGTAAACCTGTGTTTTAATGCACCACAACGCACAGATGTGAAAATCGCAGGTCTGTTAAAACCTTTATAGGCATGCCTTAATGGTTGACGTAACTCACATCTGCATGGTAATGCACCCTAGAAATTTTAATCTGGCCTTAAAGTGAGCCTCTGAGCATAGAGCAGTGGTTCTCAACCTTTCTAGGGCCGGGACCCCTTGGTAACATTTGCCAAGTTTTGGTGACCCCCAAAGGTAAAATTTAGGGATGACGCGCCTGCTGCAGCGACATCTGGAGGCGTGGCAGGAGAACTGACACTGCTGCGCTAGGAGAGAGCTGAGGAGGACTCTCACCTTACACAGCGACCCATAGGTTGAGAACCACTGGCATAGAGTATCAAAGCTGCCTCTTCTGGTCTATTTTTAAAGGTGCACATTCTGGGGCTGTCCTTATCCTGGCTTTACTATCAAGTGAGTTGGGGACCTGGTGTAAACATGCCGGACTGGAGTCCAGACTTTCCCATACTTCAATAGCTGCATCTTTGTTCCAGGTTGGTGACTTACTAGGTAAGCCACATTAAGGGCTCTATGAAACCCTAAAATAAAATAATCCATCCAAAAAAATGGATTGCTGAAATGTTCATTTAATCTTCTCACTTCATAGGTTTTGCTATTTAATGGCTAAAATTGCTTATATGCACTGCTTTGTGCTGGTTCAGTTTAGAAAATGTTGACCATGAAACACTCATCTGTCTGGTGCTGCAAAGGCGGACTCAAAATGACTGCCATATTTCTAGTCTCTGTGTAGGGACTGTTTTTTTGTGTTCTCATAAAGCAATTCTAGTGTTGCTATTGCTGTAGCTACTTTTACTGAAAGCGTAAAAAGGTAGGTTGGTGGTACTGGAGAACCCTAATGGGTCAGATTCCACAGGATAATATGGATTTGGTGAATAGAAGTGTATTAACACAGTGCAGGCAGCTCAAGTATGCAGAATTGTCTCTTAGATAATGTTAGACTGGAACCAGTAGAAGAAAAAAAACAAGAGCCACACCTGAAAGTTTGAGTTCAATAAATATATGTATTCCATTCAAATTATTCAGTTGAAATCCACATGTGTAGCTAATTCATTTTGGGGTCTCAAGTGTGCTGTTTGTATCAGGGAATATGAGATATCAAACTAAACTGTATTCTTTCTTCTGCATCTAGATTTATATTATAGATGGGTGCAGATAAACGTATAAATAGTTTTACCACATGCCATCCTTTTTTTTAAATTTTATTCTTCTTTGCTTTCCCCTTCATTTCCTTTCCCCTTTCTTTCCTTTCCCCTTTCTTTCCTTTCCTTTTTCTTTTCTTTTTTCCTTTCCTTTCCTTTGCTCTTTCCTTTCCTTTGCTCTTTCCTTTCCTTTCCTTTGCTCTTTCCTCTTCATTTTTCCTTTCCTTTGCTCTTTCCTTTTAATTTTTCCTTTCCTTTGCTCTTTCCTTTTCATCTTTCCTTTCCTTTGCTCTTTCCTTTTCATTTTTCCTTTCCTTTGCTCTTTCCTTTTCATTTTTCCTTTCCTTTGCTCTTTCCTTTTCATTTTTCCTTTCCTTTCCCCTTTCTTTGCTCTTTTCTTTCCTTTGCCCTTTCCTTTGCACTTTCCATTCCTTTTCTTAAATGAGCAGATCTTAATTGTTTCAATAAAAATAAAAAATCTATGGGGAAGTGGTTATCCATAGCAGCTAAACAGAGCATAATCTCCTAACTGATTGAGTGAGTGCACAAAACTAAAATTTAGTTGGTTGCTTTGAGTCACTTATCTTTGCATAGTGTGAATGTAGAATGTAAATGACAACATTACTTGCTAGGACCTGGATAAATAACATATGATAGTTATGCTTACTATAGAAACAGGGAATCATTTACTGGACACAAAGTATCAGCAGTGATCTGCAAATTCTTGTACTACGATTACGGGGGGCCTTTAATACCAAGACAAAAGGGTACGTTTTTGGCAGGATTTATAGGTCAATATGCTGTAGACTGTGCCCAACTGTAGCCAGACACCTTTATTTTAGGCTAATGAGGCTAATATTAATATGCCAAGTGCAGTCTCCAGTGGCTACTAAGAAATTATCTTGCTGTATCTACTGTTAACTGATACAGACTGAAATCTAATTGGTTGTTCTATATAACTGCACATCAGAGTTCTTAATTGTAACAGACCTTGAGGAAGCATGCAAAGCCCTACATACTTGGTGAGTGATGTGGCCCTTATCTTTTTTGGTTCCCTTTAAATTTTGATATGCTTTTTATATCTAATATCATTACCAGCTCCTTTGTGTAAGGCACTGTTTATTTTAGAGCTCTTAACCTGAAACTACATTTATCGAACAGTTTTTAATGTGGATTACGCCAATACAAGGTTCATTTTGTCTTTTGTAAGGCATAGTTTTCTGAACACCCAATGGGGTAAAATAATAGTATACCTGAATGACGTAGATTGACTCATTGTGTTTGGACAGAATTTCCTCCCTGCAATCCAGTGTTTTATGGTAGTAATGCTTGCCTGTGCTCTCTGCCTTTTGATTACCTTTTATCCCATTTGGTCCATTTGCCTGTCAGTGTCCAGTGTCCGCTTCCTCTTCCCCTCTAATCATTTCCTCTCCTGCTTCTCTTCTGTGTTGGCTTCTGATGGCATGCTATATTTGTCTATACAATAACCTGTTCTCTGTCCTTAGCCGCCTGTCTCCCTGTTAATGATCTGCCTCTCTGTAAGGCTGCTTGTACTTCCAACCCCATTTGTCCTGCTTTTGCTTAGCTTTTTTTTCCATGCTTTATTTTTCTTCTTGTTTATTACATTTCCCATGCCAGCTATATGTTTTCTCAAGTGTCTATCTCTTGTATGTGCTTAAGATCTCCAAAATGTCACATTTGCATGTTTATTCCTAGACTTTAATCCTGTTACTTGGTTTGATTTGCTGTTGTTTTTATTATGTTTTATGTCACAGATTAATTCTTTTTTCCCCTTCATGTATGCCTTTGATAGCCTTGTAGTGTAGTGCATCTGATTTAAAAGTAGTCACCAGTTTCACATTGGTTTTCTTTTCCAGTTGCTTTACAGATGCCGGAAGGGTTGCTGATGTTTGCTTGCACTATTGCTGATATAATAGAAAGGTGAGCAATATAAGCTTGTGCCATCCTTTTTTGGTCTGTTAATGTGGAATAATTATTTATGCTTACATTAAAATAGGTAAGACAAAAAATCACCACTAAACTAAGAATGGCCCATATGCAGTTTGTTAAATGCAAATAATATGCAAGATTTAGGTACCAGTTCAGAAATCAGGCTGTGTACAGGTAAAGTGGACCTTTACTTGTCAAAAACTGCTTGGATTATCTATTTAGGCAGAGGTAGCGAATCGGAACCTCTTCCTCTGATAGATCTGGTCCTTGGCCATGCTTAACTGAGGGAATGAAAAGTGAGGCAAACACTGGTGGACACCATTCTGGGGCAGAAGTAAATTTTAGGAGCATTGGCGGGGATGTTTTTTAACTGCAGCCCAAGAGAGGAACCACCAGACTTCGTCAATTTTTGTGTACACTTTAATGCCGTGACAGCAATCGCTTCTGAGTGTCCTAAGTGCTCACTATCACATGGTGAGATTTGCCCGGATTATTGATACCTCTGAAATGGTCGTCGTTTCCTTTATTTTTTTTTTCTATTTTAGATCTGCCGGGATTGTTGAATCCTCTGAAATGGTCGTTTCCTTTTTTGTCTGTCATCACCCATACACCACATCTTTTTTGGCAACCAAGCCAACATTGAGATTTAATTGATGATATATCAATATTTTTGGTATGGGATATACCAGTGTGTGGCCTCCTTTACCTAATCTCAAACCATGTCCTGGCATGTTTTTTTGTAAATATGGGCTCCCAGTCAGATGTATCTTTCACTTATGCTTAGAATATATGCCCTTATGTATGAAAGTACCAGTATTGTGACCTGTACTTACAGGACAGAAGGCACCTGCAACCAATATAGAGAAGTGTCACACAGCATTTATGGCAGTGCTGTGTAGCATCCATGGCTTGCCATAGCGGAGCTACACTGTTGGACACCTAATCTGCCAATATTCCATACCAGTGTCAGTTTCATGGCTGTGCTCTTATTCTGTTGTGTGTCACAGTGGGCAAAGGAGGATACACCATGTCATGTAGATTTAGCAGAAGTGTGGGAGATAAGATAGCCAGTTCACATTTTGGCCCATTAAATTATTTTCATCCATTCACCATTGGATTACACTAGACCATTTTTAACGGACAGTATAGAATACAAACCACAAAACTGTACTTAACCACGTAACTGCAATATGAGTTCAAATGATAAATGCCCCTTACCCTGAGAATGTTGATTACTGTGATCTCTGAAAAGGGACACATTGCTTAAAATGAAAAACATACATGACACTAGGTCCACTTTAACAGAAGTGGATAGGGGGAAATTCATTAGATTCATTCGTTAGATGATATGCGTTTTGTTTTTATGGCTATTAAGTTGTACAGAAGCCAAACGAGCAACAGATTATCTGAAAGCAGTTTCTTTCCTTCGGCGGACCTTGAAATTCCCAATTGTGTATCTAAAAACAAATAACCAACACCAATAAATAGCTATTTACATGTTTATTGCATTGTGTCTAATCTGGAGCTCTCATTTAATGGTTGGACTTTTACATAACTAGTGACAAGAAAAAGTACTGGCGCCTCCACCTGTGAAACGGCCAATTGCAACGGGAAACGAAAACACTGAAGAGGCAGCTCCCTCAGGTCAAGCAGACCGCCAATCTGGGAAATAAGAAACGAAAAAGGGCGCCTCCATAGTGTAAAAATGAATTGTAATGATAAAAAGCACAGCTTGTATTGTACTTTCAAAAATTCGGTAGTAAAAGGCATATAGAAAGCGATAGGATATCGCATTTTCTAGCAGAGGAAGTCTGAAACTAATGGTAAGTGTGAGCGTCCACTGCCCCTGTGTAGTCAAAAGTTTACGCGTTTCTGGGGCACGCCCCCTTCATCAGAACCTAAGTAAACTCTCCTACATCCTTGCTCTTAATTATCTACAGATGCCCTATCTCGAGTGATCTCAAATTTTTTTTATCATGGAGGAACCCATCAACTAATTTATGGTCTCAGGGAACCCCTACTTAAAATATTTACAGCTCATGGCACACTATTGTGATCAGAAACCTGTATATGTGTGTGTGTGTATGTATGTATGTATGTATGATATATATGTGTGTGTGTGTGTGTGTGTGTGTGTGTGTATTATTTCATTGGTAGTCAGTGAGAGCAGGATACCCTTTACATTGGTGGTCAGTAGGAAGATCCCTTTACATTGGTGGTCATTTGGAGAAGGATCCCTTTATACTGGTGGTTAGTGAAAGGCACAATGCAGACACAATCAGGTAGTTTATCAATTTATCATTGCTCAGAGGAAGCGTCTGTGTCACCACTGCGAATAGTTTGTCTTCTCTATTTTTCCTGGTGAACACTGTCATTGGTCCAAAAGTGATGGAGAAAATGTAACCGTTGTCATTGGAACTGGAATAGAGGGGAAAGCTAACGACACCTTTTCTGGTGACTACTGTCTAAAGCTGGCCATAGACCCATAGATTATCTGCAGATTTTCTATGGTCAGATGGAAAAAGTGCAACAGAATTCTCCATCTATCCTAAACTGTGTGGATGGAGGAATCTCCCGCTGGGCCAAGCTTCAGTATCTTGCTAGTCGGCCTCACTGGCTCTCAAAATACCTGAGCAATCTGATTGGATGCAGGCATTGTTCAGGTATTTTGAGAAGCTTGGCCCAGTGGGAGATTCCTCCATCCACACAGTTTAGCGCAGATGGAGAAATCTGTTGCACTTTTTCCATCTGACCATAGAAAATCTGCAGATAATCTACAGGTGTGTATGGCCAGCTTTAGAAGGGATCTTCCTTATTTTGGATCATCTCACTTTCTGTGATTTCAGTAAAGGTTCTTATGGAAAATGTCTCCAACAGGCCACAGTCGGCTAAAAATAAAAACCAATAACTGACATGTGCTTAGCTACTCCCTACTCTATCCAAAACCAAATTGTTCTGCTTTTTTTTTGCATCTTTTTTGCATCAGTGTATTCACAGTACTAGATAATCAGTCAGCTTAACACACAAAAAAAAGCACACAACTATTTTTCATGCACAGATTTGTGTGATGGAAATTAAAATAAAAAATGCTAGCTCTATTGGTTGACTGAAGTGAACACCGCTTCAACGTATTTACCAAACTCTGTAAAGATTTGCTTTGCAAAGTAAACTGTCTTAAATCAACCCCATGGTGCTCAAAGTCCAGGTAATAAAAAAGAAATGTCTTGTGTGTGAGTCATTCGTAGCGCCTCCTATAGCAGCTGAACTGACTTATTAAGGGTTAGAAGTAATTGTAGACTATAACTCCTTGCAAAATTATTTCACTTCTTTTGGTATTTTTGGATTCTTTTGGTAAACAGTTCTCTTCAGGCTTTATTGGCATTTACGGTTGACGAGCATCAGCTGGCTAGGGAATGCAGAAAAGAGTATGCATGTTTATCAAGCGATCTTTTATGAGAAAGATTTTGACTCTCAAATCAACTACTATTGTAGCCTATTAAAGGCTACTACATATAAAATGCATACATTTTGAAAAAGGCACCTCTGAGATCATTCAGAATTATTTGACCGGTGCAAGATTATGGCAAGATTTTCTAGGGCATGAGAGTCTAATTGTTTATAGAGCGGTATTTGGTGAGTGTTTGTTTGTTGCTTCCTACCACGCATTCCCAACCACTGGCTTTGACAAAGTGTACCAAGCTATTTTGCAATCGTGAGATCATCCAAGGCACTTTGACTGCTATCTCACAAATTTTGGAGTGGGTTTAGCCGATATCACTACTGTGCTGCTCACTGTCCTCCTTACTGGAGAGGAAGTGGTACCCGGGGTTCTAGGATCGCTCAGTTCTGGTTTACTCATTCTGTGGATCTGTGCTTTCTGCACCTCTTCTGCTGCTTCTTCATCAATACTCCAAGCAGTCAGTTTTACAGTCATTTAGGAATGAAGGGTGTAGGGGTAAAGTTCTGACATGCAAGCAAAACCTTGTCAGCTCCACACAGAGAGCTACACCATGTAGAACAAGTCATGGTAAGTGGCTAATGGGGAAAAGATCAGCTGCGGAGAGCCTATAGAACTAGTGACTAGTTCTTTGCCCTCCACATTTTTAGGCACACCGTCCACAGAATAGATTTTCTTTAAAATCCAGCTCACGAAGGACTGTGGTAAAAGTCTAATTGTTCTCTGTGAAAGTTGTGGCTGACATTGCCCTATACATCTTTATTCCCAGCTTTTTTTTTCTCCTCCTTTTTGCATACATGTTAAATCACAGTCATTTTATATTAAATGTAGCAAAGCGTACGAGAGGAAAATAGCACATAATACGCCTTTCCTACATTTAAACGTCTGCCTCTGTAATTTTTTCCTGTTACGTGCAAATGTTTTCTAACATCTTTAGTTGAAGTGCATGGAAGCAAATTGTTTTAATGCTTCCATGTCACACAAGTGATCTTAATCTGCATATCGTGCAGGCTGCAATATCAATCTGATTTGTGATTTGAATGAAACTGCCCCACTACCTGCACATACAAATTTGGTCTCTATGTTTTTCTTTATTTTAAACTGAACTTCAGGCAAACGTAACATAAACAAATTAATGCATTTATGTTTTTGTTGTTACACCATTTAAAACATATGCAAACCCAAAAGCAAAACTGTAAACCGCGCACAAACGCAGAAGTGAAAAATGCAGAACTCGTGTCGCAAAATTTGATACATGAGCTTTTTTGCTGCATTTGTCTCGCATTCAAGCCCCCTTTGAATTCAGTGGAGATGCGTGACAAACGTAGCACACGATCGCACGTTCCTGGAACGCCATGGTGGAAATCAGGGCTTAGAGGTGGTGGCTGCATTTGTTTTCTTTTATAGGTGTATGTTTCCATTATTTTCACCTGGTGATCCGTTAAGTAGTTTTTTTTGCGGAACGGATGGGGGAGGGGGTGGGTACAGCTGGCTCTGCCTCTGGATAGGCAGAGCCAGCTGTCATTCGCGCAGC